GTGAGGAGAAACACTCTTTCTTCCTAGATTAACCGATATGACTACATAGAATAGGCAAGCTTTGTGGAAATTATTCTGCCAGGTGACTTGGGGGTGACTGAAAGAAGGGCCTGAATGCTCAAAAGGTTATTTCATCCACCTAGAATCAACTGAGCTAATTTCATTAGGAAAAAGAACAAAAACGCTGCTGTTCAGTTTCTGTATTTTCTATTCCTCTTAAAAAGCTTAACTAGTTGGTCATACAGCATTTTTTATTGAGTTAGGCTTCCTGGCAGTTACTCCTGATCAATTTGTCTACCACCTGCTCAGCTGCACCTTGGGTTGCAGATACCCACTACCTGTTACCACCATAGAGCAGCTCACAAATTAACAACAAATCAGATTCATATTCTCCTGGATGCATTTGTATCCGTGTTTAAAAGGTAGAAGGGGGAAAAAAAACCCACTCACCAGAACCTAGGATAAAAGCCAGAATAGAAGTGTGAAAGACATATTACAGAAAAGATAATTTTTAAAATATATAAAAACCTAAGAGAAAAAATCATATTGGAAGAAAGAAGACAAATGCACAACTGCTCACAGCCCTAAAAGAGAGCAGGAGCTACTGTATTCCCAGAGTACTGAGTGAGAGTGGCACAGTTCAGAAGTTAGCAAACAAGTACGCTGTTCGTTAAATTAAGGAATACAGAACACACTAAAATCTAATAAAACACTCAAAACATCCCATGGAAGTTTTTGGCCTGGCACTACAGCACTCTTCCATGACTAGAGCAATCACTTCTATTGTTACTGTTCCTTAAAATATGTTTTAGAAGTAGTATCCTAGACCTCTAGATACAGGTGTTGAGAGTCAGGAATAATTCCCCTGATTCCCTTTTCCATATAGTGTGACAGGTTTCAAGCAATCTAAGGAGAGTCTGATAATAAGTTATTACTTGAATTAATACAAAATTAGATATGCTTAGAGACTGTAGTTTCCTGACTGAACTCCATAGCTGGGGGGTGGGAAAAAGAATAGCACAATAAAAAGGAGACAGCCTGCAACAGAACTATTCTTAGCTTAAAAACACCTGCTTCCCTTACCTAGGTCCCGAATGTTTCCAGTTACAGAAAATGGTTAAGTCTTTAAAAATAGTCACTAATACACATTAAGAATTTCCAGTGTAACTCGACACCAAGGGCATATTCTACCTGCTTTAAAATAGTTTTTAAAATTCTACCTGCTTTTAGTTGTTTTTGCATACGATTTTCTTTTCATTATGTATTGCTATTTTATTACCAAGATTTTTAGGGAGTCACAAATTGCCCCTCAGCACGCCAAACGGCTTTCACACGGCAGCTAAAGGCAGCGAAGGATCACTCCCACTCCACACAAAGCACACCCAGGAAATGAATCAGACTGATCAATACCTTTTAAAAGTTTCTCTCTTAAACGGTCTTTCTTACCGGTGATCCTGAGGGCCTATCCAGGCTGGGGGGCAAACAAATACACCACAGACACCGAGTGGTACTTTGCTTTAAGAGCTGTGTGTTTACAGTATTTCTTTGATTACGTGTTTGTTGGGACTTTGGTTGGTTGTTTTTTGTGGGGTTTTTTTGGGGTTTGTTTTTTTTTTTTAAACTTATCCACAAATCCTATACATTCACAAAAGACATCCAGAAAATACATTTCCTCCAATGTAGTTTTTTATTAAATGTAAAGATTGTTGCAAAACCTAATAAAAATGTTTCACTCCTAAAAGTGAAAAAAAAAACCCAAAAATTTTGATTTAATCTTACTTTAATGTGTATCTGAGCAGTTCTGATATACTGCCATAAATCTGTGTTTCTCATTTTATATCCTAACCACACAATCCAGTAACATATTGTTGCTGTAATAAAAAAACAGCAACAAAGGACTGGGCTGAAAGTGATTCAGCTTCCCTCTAATTTCTAAGGGAGCTTTGTTTCATGGTTGTCCCACTTAGTGATTCTGAAAATTTCTTTAAGCAGCTGGTGTGGGCCAGTGTTGACACGCGTGCGCTGAACTACTCAGACCTGTTACAAAAGCTGACAGACCGATTCTTATAGAATCATAGAATGGTTAGGGCTGGAAGGGATCTTAAAGATCATCTAGTTCCAACCCCCCTGCCATGGGCAGGGACACCTTCCACTAGACCAGGTTGCTCAAAGCCACATCCAGCCTGGCCTTGAAGACATCCAGGGATGGGGCATCCACAACATCTCTGGGCAACCTGTCCCAGTGCCTCACCACCCTCTCTGGGAAGAATTTCTTCCTGACATCTAATCTAAACCTCCCTGATTTCAATTTAACCCCGTTACCCCTTGTCCTGTCACTACAGGCTCTTGTAAAAAGTCCTCTCCCAGCACCCTTGTAGGCCCCCTTCAGGTACTGGAAAGCTGCAATGAGGTCGCCTCGGAGCCTCCTCTTCTCCAGGCTGAACAAGCCCAATTCTTGCAGCCTTTCATCATAGGAGAGGTGCTCCAGCCCTCTGATCATCTTCGTGGCCCTCCTCTGGACTCGCTCCAAGTGGTCAATATCCTGCTGATATTGAGGGCTCCACAGCTGGACGCAGCACTCCAGGTGGGGTCTCACCAGAGCAGAGTACAGGGGCAGAATCACCTCCCTAGACCTTCCCCTTGTCTACCCCTTGCATTTGTAAATACCAAATCTTTCATTCGTTTTCTAAAAGATCCCTTATTCCTTCAACTACAACTGTACCAAAGGCTAAGGAATAGCCTGATTTTACATGTTACTGAAATTCTGAAGACAGATGTATAGCAGCGAATAGCCTTAACTTCAATGACCACACGGACATTTCACATAAAGATGTTGCCGTTACTTGAAATGTCCAGTTGATTAAGATTTCAGGCACTATTTAATATCTGTGACCTGGGTCATAAGCTCAACTAGGAAGATTTTAAAATACGGTTTTCTTATGAGCACCTCACAGGGTCGTTAGTTCTTCCATTCACAAGTAGTTATTACAGAAAGCCATAGATTATATGTAACCTAAGCAAAATAACAATTAGAATGTAGAACCCCAGGGTCCAGAGCTGTCCTGCAAATAAATTACCAGGTAGCCCCTCACAATCTTTAGCCTCTCTTGGCCTTTCTTACCAATCAAATAAGGCTAATATTTACATCATCAGAATAATGCATGTTCACCATTCCCCATTTTTAACCACTTTGGATTCGCTTTCACTCAAGACTTTCAACATTGTGACAAGCCTTTCAAAGGAAGGCACTCAAGAGGAAAAGGAGGAATATCGATCACACTTGAAAGTAACCTGTAAGGAACTGAAGAACTGCTTACAAATAGAGAGAGGGATCACAAAATTCTAACATCACTGAGCAAGATGGATCTAATGGGATATATGCAATGTGTGTGCTTATATGAGATATGAGGCTGCCCTGCACATACAGGGGATTAATTCAGATGGTCTAGACATCCAGGCAGTAATGAAGATGAAAATGTGAACTTTGTTTCCCTGCACAGTCTGCTCTTGTTTGATTGATAAGGTTTAAGGTTTACCCATCAAATGGGGTAAGAAATGCAGAAGAAAAAGGGAAGCAAAGATGCATCTTCCATCTGGTAGGGGGGGGAAAAAAAAAAAATCTATGCATGGGCAACTATTTCTGGACTGCTTAAGTTCAGAAATACACACACATATATATATTAAAAAAACATTGTATTATGTACACTCTAGTTTTTGGTTAGAAGATCAGCATTAATATTTTAAAATGGAAAGATTCCTGTTTTCAATGAAAAGTTTCTTACAAGACTGGCTTTTATAGAATCAAACACTTTATAGACTTCATAGAAATCATTAGCCCTCATGAACAATTAATTAGAAGAATTAAGGCATTAATCATAGATTACTAGACGGATGCTACAGCTTGCTAAAATTCATCTGTCTCATTTATTACAGTTCAGTCTACTTGGATGATGCAGTATGAGAAAGGCTGTCCAGTACAAAACAGAGAAACCAAAATGACTGCTTATATCCTGAACTCTAGAGATATTCAGGACACCAGAGAAAAAAGGCTCATCCCAATCCCATTCTAATCAATAACTCCAGTTTAAAGAAGTAACTTGGTTTAAGAGTAATTTCGTTACATGAAAAAACTTACTAAGGTTTTAATTGTGCAAGACCCAAAACAAATGGTAATTTCTCTTCTAATTTCAAGCTTGGTAGTTAACAAAAGAACAAACAAGTGATTTCATGATCACGTTCACAACCTGCAACACAACAGCATGCTGTACAAAGTGCATCTCCCAGGAGGTAGACGTTAATAAACCATAAGGAACCCATTTAGAAACTCGGCTTGTGAACAATAGAAAGGTGCAACAACAAGTAAGGTACGTAAGGTGAAGTCAGAGGGTCAGCAGCTGCTGGGCAGGCCAAGCCACATTGTCTGCTGCCAACGAAGCACTGTAAAAGCACAGACAACAAAGTGGAATTTGTAACAGACAGAAAATAATACTATTTTCAAATCACCCTTAAACACATCATTAGGACAATCCAATGGCTGCTGAGAAAGTACAATCTGAAACAAAGTTTAATGATCACACTCCTTAAAATAATAGAATTTCAATGAAATTTCACTGTAGAATACAAATACTAAAAGCCAGATTACTTCAGGAAATTTTACATGCAAATATAGACCGTATTCCCTCACTTCTTGTATAGCAACTTGTAACCCTTCAGTTTTCTAGAAGTACATTGCCAAGACTGAACCCCAAATCCCATGATTCTTTCTCACAGTGAAAGAGAATATTTGTTTTTGAAGTCTAGCGGATGCAGAAGTGACTGGAGGGCTGAGGCCTGTAGTGTACTGGAAGTATCATTTCATGTCTGAAAGTCAGGACTTGTGAGCACTGTTGGCAGAACTGTTTGGAGATGAAATACATTCCCTACAGTTAACCAACAGAATTACAATGCCGTAACTTCTGTGAAGATTTCTATTTAATTACATTAGTAAGAAATGATGGGTGAAATTTAAGAGTAACAGTTAGTGGTTTCATGAAAAAGGACAGAAAATGAAAACCACACAAAACAAACAAAGAATGGAAAATGTCAAACTGCAGCTCTAAAGAAGAAATGCCACAAGACTCTGGATTACCAATTCAACAATCAAGCTGCTGAACAACCCAGTTTTAGAAGTTTCAGGAATAAGTTCTTACTTACCCGGCTTGAATGAGCTCATTGAGTTTAGCTGCATTCTTGTCATCCATACCTTTACATGAAATGGGATAACACAGTGAATTAGGATTTAAAGTAATACAGTCATGACCTTTTTTGGTGTCCTATTCGGTTTTCTAAGCCATTACATTTTATTCTCATATCAGATTAATGTGTATAAACATGCTATAACATGCTCTGAGAAGTATCTATTTTCATAATGTGCAAGCTTTATACTATCCTTGCCATGAAAATTACAGTTTACTCATGGATTAAATGACCCTAGCTTAGGTGCTATAGTCATCGTGGTTGCTGTGCATTAACCTGACACTGCGGTATTAAATAGAAAAGCTTCCTCATCTTCCTGCTCAATCTCTGTTGCTAAGGCAGCACAGCATAATGAAAGAGCATCAAACTCACACAGCGCTGAATGGAATTAAAAAAGTAAATAAAAATAACAACACACACGTCACCCACACTGTTCTTCTACGCATTATACAGCACATTTAAAAATGGACATTATTGTAACTTGATTTATATTCCCTACAAGAGTTAGGTCCAGATCTATTTGCTGAACAATTAACCACCCTCTGGCGATGCTGAAAGTATTCCTGACACGTTTTTGTGCCTCAATAGCTCTACGCATGTCATCTCAATTTCTGGGAATACAGGAGTGGGTGAATACCACAATGAGGGGGTGTGGCAGGGAGAAACAAAACAAACAAAAAAAGAAAACAGAGAGGAAAG